AACTACCTAGGCCATCTCCTCAACAAAGAAATCCCCCAAATGTAACTCCGAATAATGCGAATCGACCATACTCCTAATGTGTCGGTCAAGTATGATGTAATCTCGCACTTGAGGAAAATACCAGCTATGCTTTCTGTGTATGATGCCTTGTGTCTCTCTTCTGATTTGCGAAATGCATTTATTACTGCACTTTCCTTCCCTGAAGATTATAGGGTTGAGGTTTCACAAGCAGAAGTAAAGTTATCCCAAACTCAAAGTATTACGTTCAATGATGAGGATCTGTTGTTAGGAAATAAAAAGCATAACATGCACCCCTTCTTATGTTCAAGTGAGATTGATGATCTCCCCATTAATCGCATAAGGATTGATGGTGGTTCAGCCATAAACTTGTTACCCTTGCGCACTCTTAAAAAGATTGGGTATTCTAAAGGAGACCTATGTCGCTCAAATGTTGTCATTCATGGCTTTAACCAAGCTAGTCAAGAAGCATTGGGTACCATATCTCTGGTTCTAAAGTTTGAAAATCTTATGACATATGTATACTTCCATGTCATTGATGCGGCTACCTCATATAATGTTCTTATCGGTCGCCCATGGCTGCATGAAAATGGAGTTGTTCCATCTACTCTCCATCAATGTATCAAGTATAAAGATCCTTCAGGGAGCGTAATAAGGATTTTTTCTGATAAAAACCATTCACTATAGCAGAATCCTTTTATGCTGATGCAAAGTTTTATTTTGAGCCTATTGATAAAGTCTCAAAACCAAAATCATCATTGCCGTGGGAACAAAATATCCCAAAGATAGAAGATGTCAAGTCTTCATCCAGCCAAAAGATATACCAATACATACCAAGCAATCAAAGGAAGGAAGGCGATCCGATATTTCGCATCATAAGTAAACCCTCTCAAAATAGAGGTATTTCATTTCCAACTCCTTTACCTCCTTTGGTGCAAAATAAAATAAAACAAGTCCAAATTGAAAGGGATAATAAGAGTAAATTGGTTTACAGGTCACTTTGTTAAATAAAGATGATAAAACATTACCCATCTCTCTATATGACAACAAAGTTCTTTATATTATGCAACAAATGGGCTATGATATTTCTACCGGTCCTTCTTTATGCGATGGTAGGGGCAGCTCGCACCATTTGAAAAGTTGATGTCTCAGTGCTCACTTGAAGCCTTGCACCAAGATCAAGCATTAAAAGAAGAGAAATATGGGTTAGGCTATGAAGTTAATATGACCTCTCTTTGAACCTCTTGATGCTGCTGTAGCATCTCCACAAATGGAAGATGGAAATCAACCAACTGTTGATGAGTTGGAAGAAATTAATATCGGCACAGATTTGACCATCCTCGGCCAATCTTCATTAGTAAATATCTATCTAAAGAAAGTAAGGAAGAATACCATAAATTTCTTTCTACAAATAGAGATGTCTTTGCTTGGTCTTATGAGAATGCCGTGTCTAGACCCAACAAGTGGTCGTGCATAAATTGGCCGTTCGAAAAGATGTTCCTCCGGTGAAGCAAGGACAAAGAAGATATCGTCGTAACTTCTCCCACAAATAGAAGCTGAAGTTGATAAACTCATAGTCTGCTGGATTTATTCGAGAAGTGAAATACCCCAAATGGGTGTCTAGTATCATGCCCACGAAAAAAAGAAAAATGGGCAGATCCGTGTATGTGTGGATTTTAGAGATTTAAATAAAGCCTGTCCAAAAGATGAGTTTCCAATTCCAATCTCTGAAATCCTTATTGATGCCACTATGGGATATGAAATATTCTCCTTCATGGATGGTTTCTCTGGTTACAACCAAATAAAAATGTCACTAGAAGATGAAGAGTTGACAGCATTCCGTACACCCAAGGGCATATATTGTTATAAAGTGATGCCCTTCGGATTAAAAAATGCAGGCGCCACGTATCAACGCAATGACCATTGTCCTTGATGGGTTGTTGTATGAAATCGTTGAGTGCTATATAGATGATATCGTTGTAAAATCTAAGCACGAGAAAGATCACTTAAAACATTTGGAAATGGTGTTTGACCGCCTTAGAAAACATAAATTAAAGATGAATCCTATGAAGTGCGCCTTCGGAGTATCTTCGGGAAAATTCCTTGGTTTCATAGTCACCAAGCGTGGAATTGAAATTGACCCTACTAAAATAAAGACAATTGTCGACATGCCTCGACCAACAAACTTGCATGAATTAAAGAGCCTCCAAGGCCATTTAGCATACATTAGAAGGTTCATCTCAAACCCGTCAAGGGAGGTGCAAACCTTTTTCCCGACTCATGAAGAAAGGAGTCCCGTTTCAATGGGATCAAGCATGTCAAAATGCATTCGAGGACATAAAAAATATTTAACAAATCCTCCTGTCCTAGGCGCGCCAATTAAAGGGCGACCATTAATCCTCTATCTGGCAGACCATGCCGACTTCATTAGGCGCTCTTTTGGCACAAACCAATGATGCAGGAAAGAAGTCTCCCTATATTATTTAAGCCGCACCCTACAGGGGGCATAGTGCAATTACCCGGATATAGAAAAAATATGCCTGGCACTTGTATTTGCAGCACAAAAGCTTCGCCATTACATGCTAGAACATACAATACATCTTGTCTCGAGAGTGATCCACTCCGACATATCTTAAATAAAATGACATTATCTCGGTAGATTGGCTAAGTGGGCAATGTTCCTTTCACAATTTGATATTGTGTTCGTGCCTCAAAAAGCTATTAAAGGTCAAGCTCGCTAATTTTCTAGCCGCACATCCCATACCGATGACTTTCCCATTGATGATGATCTCGCCAGATGAGGTAGTCTTCACCACTACGGTGTCTAAGCCTACATGGCAAATGTATTTTTTGATGGTGCTTGCCGGAAATCAGAGCAAAGCGCTAGGGTCGTGTTTGTCACACCGGACGAAGCAATACTTCCATATTCCTTCACATTAACTTCAGCGGTTTCAAATAATGTCTTTGAATATGAGGCTCTAATTATTGGGCTTGAAATGGCTCACAATATGGGTTTAAACACACTCTATGTATATGGAGACTCCCAATTAATAATTAACCAATTGTTGGGGGAACATATGCGGTAAAAAAGCAAGGGCTTTTGCCATATTTTTGGAAGGCAAAAGAACTAATGGCTATGTTTGTTGATCTAAAATTCAGCATGTTATGAGAAGCCAAAATGAGAAAGCGGATGCATTGGCAAGCTTAGCTGCCAAGCATGTCACTAAATCCATATCAAACCGTGGATGTTCACGAGAGGAACGAAGAGTCCTCCCCATACTTACTGAGGAAGAATACATACCATCTACTTCAGCCATGACTATAGATACGTACGAAATTGAGATGGGTGATTGGAGAACACCTTTTCTCGATTATCTCCTTCATGGATATTTGCCCCTAGATTCTAGTGAAAGGTCTAGGATTCGAAAGAGATCACTGAATTATACATGTATAAACGACACGCTCTATCGGCGTTCATGCGATGGCATTTACTTCACGCCTTGCGTGCAACGAGGTAATCAAAGCTTTAAATGAAGTTCACTCCGGAGTGTGCGGCGCACACCAATCTGGACCCAAGCTACACTACCAACTAAGACATTTGGGTTATTATTGGCCTACAATGTTTGATGATTCTATGAAATTTGCGAAGAAATGCCATGAATGCCAAATACATGGTAATTTCATACATCAACCCCATGAACCATTACATCCGACTAATATGTCTTGGCCCTTTGAAATGTGGGGAATGGATGTAGTTGGGCCAATAAATCCCCCGTCTTCCAAGGGACACAAATTCATTCTTGCAAGAATCGATTACTTCTCTAAGTGGGCGAAGTTGTAGCACTAAAAGAAGTCAAAGCGGAAAATGTTGAAAACTTTATAAGAACCAATCTTATATATCGATTTGGGGTTCCAGCCCGAATGATATCTGATAATGGCACGTCTTTTAAAAATAGACAAATAGAGAAGATGTGTGCTAAATTCAGAATTAAGCATCACTTCTCCACAGGTTATAATCCGGCCGCTAATGGTCAAGCAGAAGCATTCAATAAAGTGCTATGCAAGTTGCTTAAAAAGATGGTCTCACAAAATAAGAGACACTGGCATGAAAAGTTACTCGAATCCTTGTGGGCATATAGGACCACGACTCGGACGCCAACGAAAATGACTCCTTACTCACTTGTGTATGGAGGAGAGGCGGTCCTGCCACTAGAGGTGCAAATTGCCTCCTTAAGAGTTGCTATCCAAGAAGAACTCAATGAAGATGAATCGGCAAAATTACGCCTAAGGGAACTAGACATCCTCGAAGAAAAACGTCTTCGTGCATTGCAAAACTTGGAGGCATACCAAGCTAGAATGTCCCGAGCTTTTGACAAGCGCGTAAGGAGGAGGTCGTTCAAAGAAGGGGATTTGGTTCTAGCGGTCATTCGGCCTATGAATATTACTCATCGAATGTAAAGCAAATTCGAGCCTAAATGGGAAGGTCCTTATATTGTGAAGGATGTCTACTCTAGTGGCGCTTATAGAATCATATCCCAGGATGGCTAGTATTGCCCACCGCCTTGATAAATGGAAAATTTCTAAAGCGTTACTATGCGTGAGGAAATATGCATATTACGCTCCATTGCTACAGGAGCCTAAACTGTTAGCACCAAAAAAAAAATGCTCCTTCATGAGCCTAACTGTAAAGAAGACATATGCTCAATTGCTTCATGAGCTTAAACTGTAGCATCAATTACAAAAAAAACAACAACAATGCTTCGTAGCTTTAAGAGCTTAAAGTGAAAGTAGAAAGATGCTCCTGCATGAGCCTAAACTGTAAGAAAAAAAAATACTACATTGCAGCATGAGATAGTCTAAAGTGCCAGTTACAAAGTTTAATTTGTGGGCAGCATGCAATCCATGGGTTTCACTATATTCGGTTACAGGACATTGGTTTACCAACTATGTATAAAAAAGAAGAGACGGATAAACGTAACAGATCAATGAGCCCTTCCAATGCATTGGAAACAAATAAAGGTCCTGATGCACATCTGAATTAAATAAATAGTTCGGAAGTAAACCACTGATAATTACAAAGCCAAATGAAACATGACACATGTCCCATAAACTGAAGAAATAAATGTTCATAATTAACTATAGGAAATAAAATACTCAAAGTCTGACATAAAGCTTGACAAAACGAATCGAATCAGCTGGATCCATCAGTTGACTTGGGAGAGGGTTTGGTTCAGATCAGTCAAACAGCCTGTTCGCTGGTTGGTTTCAGCCAGCCCAAACCAGTCAGCCAACAGTATTTTCTTCTCACAAAAAATCAGCACCAGCCAGTCCAAACCAGCACCAGCTCCAACCAGCGAACAGGCCCAGCTTCTCAGCTTCCTGGATAGGAACCATCGTCTTTGCCCGGAGGTCATCATTGGCTCTCTTGTTTGCCTTTGTAGTGGCATCACACAGCGCTTGTTCTTGCTCCTTCACTTCTAATTCCTGGGCAGACTGAGTCTTCAATAGCTTTTCCTCCTTCTCCTCCAGTTCCTTCAAGGCAAGGTTAAACTTGGCAACTTCTGCTAAAAGCTCAGCTTTCCTCTCTTCAACTGAAATCATTTCCTGGGCGGTAGCTTGGAGAGCATTTTTCTTAACTGAAAGCTCTTGTTTAACCTGGCCAACAGCTTGGTCTACTCGCCCAGAGCTTGCTTCAAATTCAGAGTGGGCAAGTTGCAATTGTTGGGAAATAGCAACCAGTTTGTCCAGCATAGCTTTGATCTTGGAAATGCTAGCAAAATTCCCAGGGAGACTAGTCGAAGTAAGTTGCAGGGCGGCACATCGCTCCGGGTCTTTCAATGTAGTAACATCCAGCCCGTTGAGAACCTTTAGTGACACCTGATATGCTGTTGCCAAGAAAATCTTCTCGATCTCAGTCGCGTCCATGCTTTGCGTATCCTTAGATAACGCTTGGCCGGAGGATGGATGGTCAAGCTGCTGTCCACAATCTAAAAAAAAAGACATTAAACAAGTTCGTAATGGAATATGGTTGTTGCGTGCACAAACAACATCTACAGATTTAATAAAAAAAAAAAATAATACCATTGATAAAAGCTGAAATTTCAGTTGAGTCAATGTCAGGAAGAACAACACGAGTCATATTATACGGGGACTTTGAAAATCCCCACCTGACCCCGTAGTAGTAATGTAGCTTTCAATAGAAGGAAGAGGCTGTAAATTGCCTTTCTTATCCACTATACCGAAATCTGTAATGACTGTATAATCTTCATCTTCTTGATTGGGATCTTCGTCAACGGGAGTGACGTTGGGGGGCAAGTGCAATGGCTGGGCCACAACCCTCATCCATATCAGTAAAATCAAGCCTTCTCTTGGCTGGTGGATCCCCATTATCTCTTGAAAGGATATTCAAGGGTGGGTGACGCTTCTTGTTGTTCTCAACTGGCACAATAATTTGATTATCTATCAAATTCTCTTTTGCCAACAGGTTGTCAAGTAACACAGGTTGGGATGAAGGACCGGCAACAGGGTTTGTTTCAAAGTGATCCCGCTCCTAAAAAAATAAGAAAGGAGTAAAATCAGTCATGAGAATAGAATTAATCTTCTTATAACCACACTAGTTCATATGATGGACAAGGGAGAAGGAAAATATACCATGGCTGTTTGACCCTGATAGTCGACCTGTACACCCAGAAGGTTGTGCAGCTCTCTTCCAATGATCATTATTGGTCATCTCTTTATTCATGATAGATACAAGATAATCCTGAAGATGTTCTTCAGCTACCCTCTGCACCACAGTCAAGTCACGAGAGGATAGATTTCGAGGAGCAAGACCTGGGTGTATATGATAATCACATTGTCTAGCCCCGAAACTGATAGGGTCATAGAGGTTATCTTGGCCCAAGCTGTGTAAAATGGAGTTAAATGGTTCTATGAAAGCACTGAACCATCTAACCCAAGCCAGTGAAGCACGTCCTACACGATACTCATCTGGTATGAGATGCGAGTCCTCATATATCGGGCGTAGAAGATGTCGCCAGTGAGCATATGCTATCCCAACGTCAAATTCAGTTACCAAACTAGTCAACGGAAGATGAGGAACAACTTGATCCAACCCGAACTGTCTAGCTGCACGTTCCGGGTGGTATGGCTCCAAAATGCAAAAGTCCGTCTTGTATGTAGCAATTCTCCATGGGAGCATACCACGACGAAGTGATAAATCAAATATTCTGTTGGTCCGAAGTGAGTTTGGTTGAGCTGTTAGGTCCTCGTCAAGAGGCTCGTAGGGATTCCACAAAATATTCTTATCTCTACACAGAAGCTTATGAGCACTCTTGGGACTGAAAAGAGTTGGCTTTCTGGACATAGTATCCAGCATAGTTGGCCGCACTGAAGGATACGGGCAAACAGGGATATTGACATGCTTCATTCTGTTACCAAATACCGCCGGTATGTGATCCCCTATCCAGCCAATCAGATAGTGGACAGGCCAAAGCTTCCTCAAAGATGCAGGATTAATAGGCTTGGTGCTAATAAGCCTTAAAGAGTAATATAAAGAACACAAAGCAGGTTGTGCCAAAGCAAATTGGCGGCCCAGAGTCATCCATGAGGCTGTCACTAGTACACCTGGTCGAATATATGGCCCCCCTCCAACAATCGCGAAGCAACATATCCAGAGTGTTAGGAATGCAGCAGTATAGATATTGGAGAACTCACTGCTATCAAAACCCGAAAGATTTCCTGGGGTGCAATGAAAGTAATCGCACCACTTTTGGAAAGTAACTTTTCCTCCGTCCTCAAGTTTGCGCCATGCCCTGTAGAGAGGCAGTAAAGTCTTTGGATACAGCAGCATAGCTGGCTCCATGTAAGCACGAGATGGAATGAATTCGTCGTAAGGTTCCCCATCCAGTGGTAAACCGGCCATGTTCTTCATATCTAAGAGGGTGATTGTACGCTCTCCGCAAGGGAATACGAAGGTGTTCGCAACCGAGTCCCACCTCTCCAGTAGAGCTCTTACCACGGAGGGGGATATAGGGTATTTTCCTAAGGAACAGAAGATTGCCCCATAAATATAATCCTTGCCCGGCTCGCTTCCCTTGAGATGAGATGAATGATTAGTTAAAAACCCTGGCAGCTCATTCATGATAACCATTAGGCATTGGGATGTGCTCTATCTCAAAATTTGCCCATCCAAAATCACCTAACACCACTCGGCTGCCCAAAGGTGAGGCCGTATCAGATCGAGGTGTAGGTGCCAGTGTGTGAAGAAAACGGGCTAGAAAATGAGGTTGAGATCTCCACGCACGATGGGGATTGGAAAAATTAAAATCCCCTTCGACCTGTTGTTCTTCCTTGAGAGCAGGGCATGCCGTTTCATTATCAAGGGGTTCATATGGTTGCAGTTTTGCCACTTCATGCACAGAGGCGCCCTATGAGGAGGAGAAGGTAGTGGTGGCGTCATCCATCTCCCTAAAGGAAAAAGGATGGAATAGGTGGATGCCGTAGTGCAATTAGATCCACAAGGTAACTCAAAGCATAAATCGATATAAACATATGGTACTGAGATAGATACGTACGAAAAAAAAAATTGCATTCGCACGGCAAACGAAAGTCAAGCAGTGGCTGCACGAAAGCCGCGATCAAAACGATAGACACCAGGCTAATAATAAAAAATCAATCAAATTATTTACATTCCAAATGCTGAAGGATACTAATCAAGCGTCGTATATGATGATTATGTGGAGAGATAATAGACAAACAGCACCATCGCACCTTCGCACCGGTGCCGTCAGACGTCAGAAGCGGTGAGCGGATACTAAATCCACCAAAACTGAAATTCTTCAAGCGCCCAATCTTTGACGATTGTAAACAGAAAGAAACCAAAGGATTTAGGAACACCATAAAGACATACGATGAAATTAAGGAAAGAATGGGAGAACCTCGTTTGGTTGGAGCAGGCGAGTCTCTGTTGCCGTGGAAACCCAAGAGAGATCTATGAGAATCCCGTAGACCCTGGTTGGGAGAAGCAAATAACTAACCCCTATGTTGAGGCCAATATCCCACTACTTCCTATAATCTTGGGGATCAGGCTCATTCGTGATATGGCCCAGAAAGCCAGAAGCGGCAAGAGGATAAGTGCAAAAAAAAAAAAAAAAGAAAAAAAAAAAAAAAAACGTGCTCATCCATGAGCCTAAATGGTAATGAAAAAAAGATGATTTATTGCAACACGAGCCTAAACTGTTGGCATAAAAAAAATGCCCCGATGCATCTTCAATGCATCATGAGTTTAAACCGAATGCAAAAAAAAAAAAAAATCCAAAGTTCTTAAAATTAAACTGCGACCATGGAACGAACATTTAAAATGTTATGTCCTCCAAGAGTCTGACATAAAGATCAATATAACGTGAGACTATACGTCATTGCTTGATAAATATCATTTATATGCGCAAATCTCCGTATGAATCAAGTGCCCCAAAATATGTTTCCAAAAAAAAAGTGAGATCATAAATAAATAAATAAAAAATCTTAAGTTTCGAGCTCCGGATCCGTTAACATGTACGAAGTAGTTTTCGCATCCGAACCTCGAGGGGGCATCTGTTGACACCAATTTTGGATCTATCCAAAATGTGTGAGAATATTTATACCATACTAAATAAAATAATATAGATGGTCAAATTCCATTTAAATATGGTATGGTGTACATAATAGTGAAATAATATGTCTGAAAAGGAAATAGAATTAGTATGATATAATATATTTTCTGACGGCATAATCTACCATGTAAAAGTGATGTGGTGATATATGTATTAAAAAAAGAGGGAGATAAGTAGTGATAAAAAAAAGAAGAAGGAGCTGAGGCACGGATATGTCAGCTTCTTGGCATGTGCTTGCAAATGGATGCCTTTGATTACTGAATGGCAGTATTGATAATAGAAAAATAGTGGATGACCGACACTCCAGCCAGCAAGGCAAAGAGAATGTATTTGCCTCTAGAATAACCGATTAAGCATTAGCGGCAATTCAAAGCCATGGCGCTTCCACTCAAATTCAAATTAGCATGACTAAGTCCAATCACCGTTTCAAGAGTCCTCCACGTCACGTATGCACGTTCTCATGAACTCGCATGGTCACAATTCAAACTCCAGCGCACGGCGTCATTAGCAAAAGGAAAATTAAAACAAAGGAGCGCCAAATCTCGGCAATCGCATCTCTACCCCTGGCATATAAATACACTATGCACGGCCAGCGGTAGAGGGCCTCCCCCCGCTCCATGATCGTAGTGCCTCTAGGCTGCCGCTCCATAGCCCCCTGAAACAAGCGTCGTTAGTTGCCGCATGACACCGCACCGCCACCGCTCCAAGCGCCGCCACCGCTTCAAGCGGAAGGCCACCGGAAGCATCGCCACCAAGCAGCAACACCTACAAAGCCAAAAGGCTGTTGGTTCTGTTTTGTCGGGTTCCAAAGAGAAGAAGGTGAGAGGCTGCATGGCGCCTCTCTAGTCCCTACCTCCCCGCTTCTCGTCTTGACTAACGCGTCCCACGAGCTTCATCAACAACTCGTCGGCATCGAAGAAATGGCTGGCCTATGTCATTGCGGATGGGCGGTGCACGTAGGTCTTACCCCGTAAAAGGTAAAAGAAATGGTGATGGTTGCGCTTACGCGCATGGGCTGCAAGCCCTAGTAAAAGATCGCCAGCGATTGCCATGACCGCGCTTTGCGCATGGGCAATATGCCCCGGTGAAGGTGTAAAAGGCAGCAAATATGCCTCGGTGAAATACGGGTTTGGATGCGTTTTGGCTCCACCCCGTTACGTTCATGGTGAACTTTCGGTTGGACGCGATCCTGGCTCCAACCGGTTAAAGGTTCATGGTACAAAATTGGTGGACGCGCTTTGGCTCCACCGGTTCATGGTAAATTTGATATGGACACGAATCGGCTCCATATCTAAACAAATCTACATGTGTTTTGGCCACAAACGCCGCCCATTCATATCATGCATCAAACAAAATAAAGAACTTGCATGTTCCGCCATGAAGAAAAGATCATGCATCGGTTTCTATCAAATCAAAGAAACAATCATATGTGCAAATGAAACTATATAAAAAAACAAGACACTAAAAACGCACCGCATATTCAGTCCATTAGCTAGGCATGCATATCATGTAACGTGCCATTATTTCTCGGCAACATCCGTTGTTTACACAAACCTTTGCATGATGCATATCATCAAGGATCATGTATCGACATAATCAAGTCATAAATAAACAAAAGAAAAAGGTTGTGCATGTTATGCTTCGTTAGCTAGCACCTCCCTTGCACAAGCCCAAAACTTGTCTTGCATGCCTCGCTTTGCATGTACAGTGACATAATCAAATTACCAGTGCGGAACAAACCAAGATCCTAAGTTAGTGTTGCATCAAAACTGTCACATCTGCCTCACCATGCAAATAGAATCAAAGGCTAGCGTAAAGATTGCATGCATCTTGCATCTTAATTATATTGCATTCACCCAAAACAGGTGGATTTAAATAAATAAGAAACTAAAGAAAATTAGTTTCTTCGTGCCAAAATCAAATTTGTCTCTGCTGACGCGGAGGTGGGTCATAGCCACCCGTTTCCCCGCCATCATGGACGACAAGAAGGCTGAGTTCAACCGCAGAGGAGACAGAGAAAGGTCCAATGGGATTGATATGCTGAAAATCCAATCTCGGAACAAGACCCTGACCCAGGAGCTAGAGGAGTTCAGGAAGAAGGCCGTTCGCAACCAGGGTCACTTGATCGAGGCACTCAGGCAGACCGAGTACCTATAGGACAAGTGTGAGAGGACTTGGCAGGCTTGGCAGAAGTCTGACAAGAAGCGCCTCAGGGAGATGAAGGGTATGTGGGATTAGCTACCCAAGGAGATTCACAGCAAGATGAAGCCGAGGATAGAGGAGTTTGAGTTAGCACCGACTCGCCTCAACCTAGATGCCTGCCCTACCCTACCTAGAGCCAAGCCTACTGAGGAGTTCGCCGAGGCCTTGAAGTACGTGTCCCGACTTCACAAGTCTGACGAGGAGATCAAGATCGAGAACAGTCGTATCCCAGCTGCGGTGTACGAGTTAGAATAGATGACCCTGCGTGGTCATGAGATATGTCAGTAGCTTCCATGAGTTGTACCCCATGATGTACCCCTTATGAGATGTATTATGAGACGCTATGCGTAGTACGATTCTCGCACGTCTTCAAGTGTAGCTACTGGAGATGATGCTATGTAATAAAACCCATGTAATGAATGATTTGGATCTTATTGCATCTTATGGATCTTATTGCTTCTTTGTAATGAGTGTTGGATAGTATAAATGATTTTCTTTAAATCGTTGAAATCATGTAATCATAATTGAATTATAAGTACTTATGGCACAAGCATTAAAATTCTTATGATCTGTGTTGCAGATGCTGAACCGCCGATCTGCTCGCCTAATGAACCATGAACGTGCACCCATCCCTGAACCAGCCAAATCCAACGGGGGCCGTGGTGGCAACAACCGTGGCCGTGGACGCGGAGGGGTACCCTTCAACCTGAAGAATACCCCGCCGCCTGTTGAGGAGAACATTCCGCCACCACCACCACCAAACCTGGCAGAAGTGATGGCACAGCAGACCCAGCTTCTTGCAGCCCTGGTTGAAGGAGCAAACCATCGCTAGGGAGGCCAGCATAATGACTTCTAAAGGAAGCTAGAAGGATTTCTGAAGTTAAGGCCACCTACCTATGATGGCACCGACCCTGACCCGCTTGTAGCCGATGACTGGCTCAAGGAAATGGAGAAGAAGCTTGACCTCACTACTTTCACCGACGATGAGTGTGTTGGAGCTGCCGCACACCAACTCACAGGTGCAGCACGCGCTTGGTGGGACAGTTTCAGTGACTCCCATGAAGACCCTGCTAATATCTCGTGGGATGAGTTTGCTGAAGCATTCATTGAGTATCACATTCCCAAGGGTATCATGGAGGCCAAAGCCGAGGAGTTCCGCAACATCAAGATGGGAAAGGACAAGGTGACTGAGTACACTACTCATTTCACCAACCTTCTACGCTATGCACCCCCCTATGTTGTGAACTCTGAGAAGGAGAAGCTGTACTATTACCGCAAGGGACTTAACCCGCACATC